CTATCTCTGCTATGCTTTGTCTTGTCTCTCTCCTCCTCTCCTCTTCTCGGTCTTTGCTATGACTCCCCTCTCTCTTTCTCTCTCTCTCTCTCCTCCTATCTCTGCTGTCTCTTCATTTTCTCATCTCTCTCCTCCTCTTCTCTTCTGTCTTTGCAGTGCCTCTCCTCTCTCTCTTCCGATCCCTGCTATTTCTGCATTGTCTCTTGTCTCTCCTCTTCTTTTCTTTGCTCTCTCTGTCTTTGCTATGTCTCTCCTCTCTCTCTCTTTCTCTCTCTCTCCCTCCTACAATCTCTGCTGTCTCCTAATTGTCCCTTCTCTCTCCTCCTCTTCTCTTCTCTGTCCTTGCTATGTCTCTCTTCTCTCTCTTTCTATCTCTTTCTGTTTCTCTCTCTCTCTCCCTATCTCTGCTATGCTTTGTCTTGTCTCTCTCCTCCTCTCCTCTTCTCGGTCTTTGCTATGACTCCCCTCTCTCTTTCTCTCTCTCTCTCTCCTCCTATCTCTGCTGTCTCTTCATTGTCTTATCTCTCTCCTCCTCTTCTTCTCTTCTCTGTCTTTGCTGTCTCCTCTCTCTCTCTTTCTCTCTCTCTCTTCCTGTCGCTGCTGTCTCGTCTCGTCTCTCTCCCCCTCTTCTCTTCTCTATCTTTGCTATGTCTCTCTTCTCTCTCTCTCTCTCTTCCTATCTCTGCTGTCTCTTCATTGTCTCATCTCTCTGCTCCTCTTCTTTTCTCGGTTTTTACTCTCTCTATCTTTGCTATGTCTCTCTTCTGTCTCTTCTTATCTCTTCTATTTCTGCATTGTCTCTACTCTCTTCTCTTCTCTGTCTTTGCTATGACCCTCCTCTCTCTTTCTCTCTCTCTCTTCTTCTTATCTCTGCTCTCTCTTCATTGTCTCTTCTCCTCTTCTCTGTCTTTGCAATGTCTTTCTTCTCTCTGTTTCTCTGTCTCTCGTCCTATCGCTGCTATTTCTGCATTGTCTCTTGCTCTCTCCTCTTCTCTTTCTTTGCTCTCTCTATCTTTGCCTCTCCACTCTCTCTGTCTTGCTCTCTCTCTCTTTCCTCCTGTGTTTGCTATTTCTCCATTGTCTCTTCTCTCTTTCTTCTATGTTTGCTATTGTCTCTTTTCTCCCTTCTTCTTTTTTCTCATTCTTTGCTCTCTCGATCTTTACTCTGTCTCTCCTCTCCACAGTCTCCTCTCTCTCTCTGCTATCCCCCGTTCTCTCAATCTTTCTTTCCACCCTTTCTGTCTCCCCTCTTTTTCTGTTCTCCTCATATCTGTCTATACTATCTCTCCTCTTTTTCTCTATCTTTCTCTGCAATACCTTTCACCTCTCTCTATCATCCCTTTCTCCTCATTCTCTCTCTTATCTCTCTCTGTCTCTCTTTCTGCTGTTTCTCCTCTTTCCTTCTCTCTTTCACTCTTCCCCTCTATCTCTGCTATCTCTCCATCTCCGCATCTCCCCATCGCTCTCTCTCTCTCCCCTCTGTTTCTGTCTCATCTGTTCATTCCGCAGTAATTGTCAAATGGGCCCATAAGCCCGAGACGAGTGGAGGAGTGGAGAGGAGGAGGAGAGGGGAAGAGAGCGGAGGAGAGGAGACATTAATAGGAAAAACAGACCTGACAGAGCAATAACAGAGAGAACATGTGGAGAGAGAGAGGCCGAGAAAGAGAAAGAGAGGAGGAGAGAAAGAGAGAGGGAGTGAGAAAGACAGAAAGGGAAGCAGGGGAGAAAGAGAGAGAGAGGAGGGGGAAGAGAGGCAGGGAGACAGAAAGGAAGAGAACGAGAGAGAACGAGAGAGAAGAGACAGATATAGAAAGAAAGAAGAAAGAGAGAAAAGAAGAGGGAGAAAGAGGCTGACGCAGATATAGAGAAAGAAAGGAAAGAGAACGAGAGAAAGATGAAGAGAGGGAGAAAGAGGCTGACGCAGATATAGAGAAAGAAAGGAAAAGAACGAGAGAAAGATGAAGAGAGGGAGAAAGAGGCTGACGCAGATATAGAGAAAGAAAGGAAGAGAACGAGAGAAAGACGAAGAGAGGGAGAAAGAGGCTGACGCACATATAGAGAGAGAAATGAAAAGAGTGAGAGAAAGATGAAGAAAGGGAGAAAGAGGCTGACGCAGATATAGAGAAAGAAATGTAGAGAATGAGAGAAAGACAAAGGCCGACACAGACGCAGAGAGAAAGGAAAAGAAGGAGAGAAAGACGAAGAGAGGGAGTAAGAGGCAACATAATTTAAGACTTTTTAAGGCCTTTACTTTAAGAACAAGAAATTTAAGACCTTTTTAGGACCATTAAGACCCCATGACTCCCCTGGTTATAATGTTTGCTCACTACAAATACGGCTGAACGATCTATCATTTTGGACCGAAAATCGCGATCTCAGACAACACGATTTTGGGAGTGTCAAAGCAGCGTTTTTTTTGCAGTGCTCCTAAAGCCCAATTTATGGATTTACGGATCTGTGTCGAGGTCTGAGCGCCGCGAAGTAATTCATCGCCACAACGCGAGGAGTAGAGGATTTAAACCTGGTGTTCCTGTAAAGTTACATGAACCATCAATGCGATAGAAGCACAGAGCATCAGCAGCACTTCCTCTGTCACAGAAAGAACACTCATATTCCACTGAGTCGTGTCCTTTAGGCTGACACAAGCGCACAAAGAGAGAGCTGTTTTTTTTTTCAGCGCTTATAGTTGATGCAAATTAGCCATGTGGTTTTAAGTTTTGTCTCTGTAAAATGTAAACAAATGTGAGCAAAGCTGACACAACAAACACATTAGTACTCAAAGTATATTGAAAAAAAGGAAAGCGGAGTACAGGAAATCTATGTAGAGCGGTGGTAGAGAGATAGAGAGAGGTAAACTGGGCTTTACTAAACTGGGTTCCAGCGTTGAATCATCGGTGCAGGACTCTGGTATGATGTGATGTCTGCAGATGCTCATGCGCACTGAAACTTGATTTGAAAAAAAAAAACAAAAAAAAAAAACTGTGGATAAAATCGAAATCGCAATTCAAATTTCTCTTAAATTTTCTTTTTCAGCCCTAATCACAAACAACATACCTGGAGTCGTGTTTTGTTTCTGTCACACATGTTGAACACACAAATCGTCCATATTTAGACTGACAGTTACTCAAACATGTGAATAAAACAAAAACACAACTCCAGGTTTCTTTTTGAGGAGGTAACAACATTCTGACATG